CAGTCCACTGGCCGTGCTGCACCAGTCCTTCCCTGGTGCATGTGACTGAGGAGGACGAAGGTTCTATTAGGCGTTACTGCTTTTGCTCAGACTTTGGGAAGAAAAAGGATACATATATATATATATATATATTTATGTGTGTGTATGTATGTGTATATATATATATATATATATATATGTATGTATGTATGTATATAATTATCAATCGCCTCTGTCCTTGAGAAAATGTTGAAAGAACAGAGAATTTATTCCATTGCAATCCTAATTGTGTAGAGGCACACTGTTTGAAAAGAAGTAAAAAGGCTGTGTGTAAGTTTTTGGTATTATGTACCACCTATATTATTCTTCTAAAGCTGAAGTATTTATGTGTTTAAATCATATTTTATTTGATTGTTTGATTTAAAAAAAATATATATATATACATGAATTAAAAAATACATTTTATAAGTATAATTTTTTAATAACCTGGCTTCAAGTCTAGAATTGTCTCACAGTTCCCAGCATGACTTTCTTTCTTTTCTTTTTTCTTTTTTTTGGTATCAGGGATCAAACTCAAGTTGTTGCACTTGCAAAGCATTTATCAGAACCACTAAGTTAAATATCCCACCCCAGCACAACATTTTTTTTAAGATTATGGTACACAGAGTATTAACTAATGTTGTTATTTATAAATTTGTTATGAAATTTGGCTTTAATTTTTCATAGAAGATGGTTTTTTAAAAATATTTTCTTTATTAGTATCTACTTATATTACATTGGGCCAGTGATTTGGCTCAGTGCTTTTGCCAACTGCCTTGCAAGTACAAGGGCCCGAATTCGATCCTAGTACCAAAAAAAAAAAAAAAAACTTACTTATATTACATTGAAATAAGGTTTAAAAAACTAAATTTCTAGATATTTCCCTTCTTGATGTGTATTTTATTTTAGATTTTTTTTTCTGAACTTTCTGAAATCTGTTTTTCTGAACTCTTTGGCACGTATCGAACCATTTTCAGCTTTTCTTTTGCTGATAATCATGGCTTCTATGTCTAAAGTAGTTTTTCTCACTAAAAGATGTTTTTACAGTCCACAAAAAGTGATTCCTGGAGTCCAAATAAGCTGCCTTATTTTGGGGACCAGTGATCTGTATAGCATCGGTCTGCATGAAAGCTTTCAATTTGAGATTTTGGAAAAATCATTTTCTATGAGAAGATCAGAGAAAAAAAAAAGAATGATAATTTACTCTTCCTCCACTGCCAAACAAGATTGAACTCAAGAGACTATGTAGCCCTATAAGAAATCAGAGTGCAGCAAGGCCTAGGTTAGACTCTGAATAGAGTTCAGGTGTATACACAGCAGCACAGAGTGGGGAAGGGGCCCTGCCTTCTCTTCACTGTGGTACACAGAGACTTTCTAAGCCAAGAGAAGATGCCCACATCTGGTAACTATCCTCATGGAGACTTGTGAAGCTGAGGGAACCCTGGAGAAGCAGTAAGGACAAAAGGACATTAGGAGATAATTTCCTTTAGGAAATCATCCTCACTCTTACTGGAAGTATTTCTCCCTTATATATAGTGACACTCTGCATCATGTTGTGGAAGACTAGGTTTTCATGAGGTAGTGTTTAATCTCATCTTCTCTTTCACCATCTCCTCAGTTGGTTATTGTTCATGAGGTCCCATTTTCCCTGCTATTCTGTGACTCATTTTCTGGTCCAAGTTCTAAGTGTCAGTATGCAGACACATCAATATTGCAAGCATAGTGTTGCATTGCTGAATCAATTATGGAAAGGTATGCATTTGATAAGAGAAAAATTCTGAGATCCCTCCCCTAAATTTACTTACAAATGCCCTGAGGATGGAAGGAAGTAGAGATGGGAAATTTAATTGGTAATAAGCAACAAACCAAAAATAAATAAATAAAAGTACATCTCACATTCTTGAGTGCATGTTAAAAACCTTAACACAAATACTTTCAGGACCTCCAGGTGCCAGTCTACCCTGCATACAAACCCAGCCAATCCAGAAGCAACAGTTCTTTCTTTCTCATATGGACTGCCCTCCTGTACTAAAACATTCCCTGACTCTCTTATTCCTGTCTTATTCATAGGCAATGAAGCTTTGAGGTAAGAAACTTTTTTTCTCTTCTCACATTTTCATTACATCGTATTCTTTTAGATCCAGCAGATATTTTTCCAAACGTCACCTAGCCTTGCTCCTAAAGATTGTGGGGACCTAACCCAGGATCCATTCTTTCTTTCTGGCTAGCATCTGTGATGATCAATAATCCTCTTATTTCAGAGATTTCTGAGTTTCAGAAGTTCTGGGTTAACATAGAATTTCTACTGGTAGTCAATACTATGTGTGATAGTACTTCAGTGTACTATTCAGTCCTTGGATAACCTAATCTTCATTTTACACATCTAGCCAATTGCAAAAGTCCTAGAACACATTGCCTACAATAAATAACCTCTTTATCAAACACCTAGATTTGTCACAGTTTTCCTGATTGGACAGAAGCTAAAGCACACTGTTATAAATCAGAGTGTGTATACAGCATCAGCCCATGCATTGTGCCCTAGAAAGCATCATACCATGAAAAAATATTCAGAGAACACTCAATGGACAATATCCGCTTTACATACAACTGTCTTTTACTTCTTGGTAGAGAACTACCAGCCTCTCAGAACTAGTGGGAGGGTTTGTGGGATTCACTGATATTTGTAATCTCTTGCTGTGTTTTTTCCCCATAAGGTCCTCATTCAAATTATTGCCAAAACTAGCAATCCTTTTGTACTTGTGGAGCTTTTCCTTCTTTAAGCATATAATTCACAATTCTTACTTCTGTATTTGTTCTATCCCTGAAGCTCCTTTGGATTTTGGATTTATGTTTTTTCTTTTGGTATTCTGCTTCCATCTTTTTTTCTAGGAACTCTTCCTATTTGCAAGTAACTGACATTCAGAAGGGAGATTCTTGAGAAAGAGAGGAAGTCTATAATAATTACTGCTATCATGAAAGAAGGAATGAGGGCGAAATGAATCATATTTTGTGCCACAGATTCATTATCTTCATATGTAGTTTCTAGTCAAGATCAAATATGGAGAATATCTTATTCCTATACCCAAAATGAAAAAAGGAACTTGAATTATAAGATAATTCTATAGATTACCACAGTCAAATTCATGTGCATACATCTAAATTTAGGAATTATGCCTTTATCATTCAGAGCAATGAAAATGGGGGTTATTGACTTCAAATTCTGGATATATTCATGTTACGATTATGAATTCATTGACCTTTGTCCCTTGGCATCTGTTTCCATGCTTTTTTGTCCCCTGTGTCTGCACATATGCAGATATAATAGATTTAGAAGTTAACCTTTGATGAGACACAAACTTGGAAGAAAAAATATCAAACCACGCAGCTGAATGTCACACAGAAGCAAGGAGAGGCATACAGCCAAGTTTCTCCAGCTATTTCATCACTTGATGTTGCTTGGATATCAATTTATCAACAGACTGAATTTCTATCACAACTTTATGTGTATAGAGCTTTGCAAGAAAACTACATTGTGTGTGAAAACCAGCTTTTAAAAAGGGTAGAATAACCACACCAGGTAAGTTCTTTTTTTTTAAGCAAATCTGTCCTTTTGTTTCAGATTTATTATTTTGTAGATTTTTTTCTTCTTGAATTCTCCAAGAATTTTAATCAAACCTTATCAGGTATAGGCAGTTTGAATAGATAAGATAGATATCTTCAGCAAGAGGCCAAGAAAAACACATAGGAACTGTTTACATAAGAAAGATCATTTATTTGCACTATATAAGAAACTTTCCAGCTTTGAAAAATATTTGTTTTCTGTTCTACTGATGTAGAAAGGATATTGAGAGAATATGAATGCATAGGTTTTAATCAGAGAGAATATGGAAAGATTTTCTTTTGATTGGCATGGTTTTGGGAGTGCCCATTAAAGAAAAGGGGGATTAAATAAAACATAGTTCAATGTATAAGTTTATGTCACGGAAACAGGACACACAGAGAGGTTGACTGATTCTTCTCTAATGAACTTCTCTTCTGGGAGTTCTGAGCATTAAATCTGTGAACTCAGAACTGACCAGAATCTTCACACATATTAAAATACTTTTTAAACATATGTAATATGTGCGTGCCTATGTGTTTGCACATATGAGCATTTATTAGAGAGGGTGAAATGAGAAGAAACTGGCATGAAGTGAAAGCATCTTAAATCCATGATGTCTGTTAATCAAAAAGCCAGTGAGGTTGGCACTGTAACCACTATCATGGAGATGTGAGGACTGAGGTTTATAGAAGGGGCGAGACTCCAGCCTGTCCAGTTTTAAAGGCCATCAGATCTCTATTATAGTTTCTCTTCTTTAGTTAGCCTATGGTTCACTTGTTTGGAGGACCTGTTCCTACATTTGATTTGCTGCATTCTTACTTCCTAACATTCTGTAGTCTGTACTGCTAATAAGGGCAAAGGAATGAGCAGAGAAGAAAATGTTCAGGGTTTCTAGGTCTTTGCCTTGGCAACACTGTTCCAATGTCTGTTCTTCCCAATTTGTGAACTTTGTGTTATTATATCACATGGAAAGGAGACTTAGTCAGAGCACATAAAGCTTCTTTCCTCTGTATCTTTGTAAATAAAGAAAGATGACTACATTTAGTAGTTTATTTTATAGTATAATGCCATAAAAGTGCAGATTTAAATATGCAAGAAATGAAATATGTAAAGATGCAATATATTGCTACTCAAAAATTATACTTTTAAGGAATATTTAATGACCTAGTAAGGTTCATAACATAGACAGAAAGCCATAGACAGATGGATAGATAGATAAATATAATGACCACCTTTTTCAAAATTAAACACAATATACACAGAAAAATCTATACATGGAAACCAATCAAATATCAACAATAGTTAGGTATGGGTAATCTTATTTTCTTTTCCATTTTAAGAATGTTTACAAATGTGCTGCTTTTACAGTCAGGTAAAATAATAAAATTATTTAAAATTGTGAAGAAATAACTGTTGTAGACATGAGAGTACAAAGTTAACTGTTTCAAAACCAATGAAGCAATAAGATGAAGACTCTGCATTATTATTTCCCCAATAAGGAGTGAGACTAGGAAAAGATACAGAACTAAGTGCTCTGGTGAGTTCCATTACTTGGAAACATGTAAGAAAATGTTCTTACATTGGAATAAATGACATTATGTTATTTCTTTATTTGCTTATTGATTTACTTAGATGCCTTCCATTCTGAGTGAACAGAATGAAATTTTGCTATGCTGCAAATGAAATAAAGTGATGCTATGCTATTCTTTGTTATTACTTTTAGGTTCAGAATAAAGAATGAGAGAAAACCGGAAAAGACAACAAAAGCTTAGAAATGTTCCACAAATTCCTTGTATCCAAGTCCCTCACTCTTTTTCTGATATTTCATTACTGAAGGTACAGCATTTTATTCACAGATAAAGGGACCTCATGTGTCTCTTTCTTGATGCATAAGGACTTTTTCTACTGTTTATCCAGAATTAGAAAGAACAACTGATCCAGTGGAAGTAGGTGTCAAAAGTATACAAGATCAAATAAATGGGCACTTGGCGGACCTAATGTTAAGCACATCCAATGGCAGGAGCTCCGGTAAAGTGTCACCTCTTCATGGCTAGCCCACTATCAGTGGCGAGAAATAACCCTGGCTTCCAGTGAGAGGGCTGTTAGCTTCTCTTGGTCATCGATAGTCTAAAGGTTTCAGTTCTCATCTAACTCCTTGAGTAAGCAGAGACAACAGGATAAGGATATTAGGAATTGTACCTACTACTTCTTGTCTGGGATTTTTAAATTTTATTGAAGAAAAGAAGCAGGCATTTTCATCTATGTAAAATAAAACCTTAACTTTTAACATTTATCTTATATAATGGAAATTCCCATTGTACTTTGGAAGTTTGCTCCTGAAATTCATTTGCAATCTTCATATTACTTTGTTCTCAATCATTTGAAAGGCTTAATTAATTATGAAATCCATTCTCTTCTTCAAATATATTATTCTTTAGAATATCTAATTCAGAAATTATAAGAGTGAAAGATTTCTCAAGTTGTGAGACATTTGGTTTTATCCTGCGTATATTTTCAATATCATGATTAAGGTCTTTAGACCTAAAAAAAAATCTGTCTCACACAGATTTCAGTGCCCCACAAAATTTCTAACCTGTAAAATCATGTGTGTGTGTGTGTGTGTAATCTTCACTTCCTATTTGTCTGTTTGTAGTACAAGTTATTCAAGTTATTGGCTAAGTTTGAAAATTCTATCACTGTTTTGAATTTTTTCCACCTAGAGCAAACTTATTTTATCTTGATTTTTTTTTTTTTTTTTTGTACTGGGGATCGAACTCAGGTCCTTGTGCTTGCAAGGCAGGCAGCGGCACCACTGAGCTAAATCCCTGGCCCTTTATCTTGATTTTTCTAGATGTTGAATTCACTATCAGTTTCCCTTTCTGCAAAATGAGCAAGTTATTCATCTCATAGAATTACTATAACTTAAGAAATGATACATGAAAAATTCTTAGAACAGCATGTAATTAAGCACTTACGACATATTAGGTACATAATAGTAATTTAAGTCTTGAGCCTTCTCGTCCCTCCCTACTTCTATGGCAGTAGCCTTCTGAATGATCTCTCTACCAGTCGTCTATATTCTCTCGATCCATTGTCTACAGCAAGGCCAGTGAGATGTTTCCAAAGTGAAAAATCTGCCCAGTTAAAGTATGGCATTTTGACTTGAATAATTCTTTTTGGCAAAGGAATGGGAAACTGCCCTGTGCATTGTACGGTGCTGAGCAGCCTCCTGAGTTCCTCCCCACCAATGGGAGTAGCACCTCTCTCCCCTCACGCCAACTGAGCTGATCAAAATTTTCTCGAAATAGCTATTAGGGGTCAAAATCATCCCTGTTAAGAATCTCTGCCTTGTATGCAGAATTTTAGTAGTTCCTCAAGTAGAAGTCCATCTTTAAACAGTGTAAAAGATTCCCATTATCTTCTGCCTGATTGTGTAGGCTTTTTGAAATCATATTCTATGCTCCCTTTGACGTAAAAAATTTCCTGTTCTCTAATTTTCTGTATATTCAGAAACTTCATGCCCCATAGAAAACTTGTGCCACCTTTCTCCTCTGTACATAAATAACTTATTTTTTTTTCTTCTAGTCCAGTAGTTCTCAAATTTTAGTAAGTATGAGAATCACCTGGAGGATTAAAAACAGAGTACTGGGCCCCAGCCACTGCCCCAAGGTCTTTGATTTAGCAGGTGGGGATCTGAGGATTGTGTGTGTGTGTGTGTGTGTGTGTGTGTGTGTGTG